TTGGATGTGAGTATGCAATTTATATTAATTACTATTTGGTATCTATATATATACGTAAGAAATAAAGTCTTCTAACTTGAAGCTACTTTCGGGTGCGAATATCCAGGTGAAGCTAATAAAGGGAAGGGAACATGATTTAATTCTGTATCTACTATTTGATTTCGTTTTTTCTTCAAGAATGACAAGGTTATAATTGACTTGGCTATGGTTAGCGGTGGAATCCAAGGCGCGTTTCGTCCTATTTGGGACTCGTCAGCTGGATGTATAGCACCGCAGTGAGTTATGTTATTACCACTGAGACTGAATTCCACTGCTAATCACAACCAAGCCAAGTGTAACAATAAATATTCAGACAATATAAAAGGTATCCTCATAGGAGTCCATATGCCAACAGTGGTCGATCACAATTTGATCCAGTATGACAAGGAAGAGTTATGAGTATCAGCAAATAATAATGATAAGCTTGACTGCATAATATGTCTTAGTAATGACTCATCTTATCTCCTGTCACAAAATCGTATAATTCAACTCTTTTCCGTTTGTTGGAGTAATATAACCATTTTATTGGGGACCAAGTATAAAGTGAGTTTGGTGTTAGCTAACTTCTACAACTGTTTATAGACTTTGAAAGATATCGGCTAGTAGTTGTCATAAAGAAATTTCGTATCTACCCTATCAACTTATTGAAGTATTCACCTTCAGATGTGAAATGAATTTTATCAGTACATAATAATGAAAGCTCTCTCAGATAAGTTGTAGAAATAACGAATTCGGGGTTGGGAGAGGATATGGAATCGCAGAGAATATCACGTAAATAATTTTGTTCGAAGGTATCTATCACTTATCGCGAATTGGATTTAAAATTTTCGCCAGTTTATGAATAGGAGAGCAATGAATCGACAATACAGGACGTAACGAATTGATATGTTTATCTTTCTTAGGTAACCCATGTAAATTGGAGAATTCAAGCCCTACACCTTCACATTCAATAGTTTCAGTAGTTCCTCTGCACAAAAATAAAGGTTTGTGAAAATGTTCAAACTTTCGAAGATATCATGAAGTGCATACATCTGGACTACTGTGACCGACTTTCAGCCACGTTGACAAGAGTCTCCTTCATAGAAAGCTGAATTGAAGTTATCACTAGATAACCTAACAAAGGCTATGGAATCGAATGTCCTGAAACGTTCACCAAAGCAAACACCGCCCACCATAATCCTGAACGTGAATTAATGATAGTGGAGTAGAAGCCTTTGTCTCTGCATCCATAGTTCAACAAGGGATGCTCTTAATGACTTCCTATTACAATGCCTTGTTAGTGCAGTAAATAGGACGTTTCACTCAAGTCGTCTTTGCATATCTTTTCGTAGCTGTCCAATGGTCAGCCTGAGAGAAAGGGATACCTACCTAATCTTAGCTCCAAATCTTGCATATATCAAGTAAACGTTTCCTGTGGAGCAAGTTAAATAGCACATGCGATTAGGCATGTACATCTTCAGATATGAGAATATTTACCGGTTTGATACGGAAAAGGTGATATGAAAGCGCTAAAAAAAGTTCGATCTTAGCTCACTTTGTAGACACAGGACGTTACATAGATGCTAATCAAGTTTTTAATGTCGTACACGGTGTTACAAAAATAATACCAAGTTTAGCTCGCCAACGCCCACCCAAAATAGCTAAGGCTGCAACAATAAAATTAATTAAACCTGAACTGTGTATTCAGATTGGAACATGTTCAGGCTTTTTTGCTCCCGTGGTCCTAATGAAATAAAGGCTACTTCCACTTCCCTAAATTTTGTCTTTTCTTTGACCATCACATTCTTCATTTATATGATTATATTATATAAGTCTTCCTATTACTGATAGAATTATAAAAGAAAGTTCCATTTCCTTACAAACCATAACTCACATGCCATATTGAAAATGTATTTGCCTCGAACTTGGCCTGTTTTTACGCTGTACAATTCCATTTGTAACTGTAGGACCTGATGAGAATTTGTTGGAAATATATTCTTCATTCATATTGTTTTTGATAATGGTCATGAAATGGTGTGTTATAGCTAAAGAAAGATGTTGCATCTTGTAAAGCACGTAATACTCATTCCATCACTTTTTCAGTAGCTTTTTGTATTGGATACAAAATTTTACTCAGTGTATAGATTTGCTAAAACCGTTCAATAAAGTTAGGTATAACTCACAAATGCATAGTTCCTGAAAATTGCTATTTCAAACATTCCTTTTACAAAAATCTACAAAACAATGCGAAGACGTAGTTTGTCTGAAACGTGTGATTTATTGACGTATTGGCACTTACGTATCATGCATACTTATATGAAATATAACAAAGGAGGAGTATTGGCTTGAGGTTGAGTTCAGGATGTGGGTTTCGTCCTCTTTGGGACTCGTCAGCTGAATATGCCTGCCTCCCACTTACTCTGGATCAAGACCAGTCGCTTCAACCACCTGAGCATTATCCACTGTGGCACGAACTATAACGTCAAAAGGATAAATGAATTTGAAAATAACCAATATAATAAAGGGTCAGATTGTTAGTTTAGACGGAAAGAGAAACAGCACATTAATCATCCTAAGTATTAAATATGAGTAACTAAAGCGAGGTTTAACCTCGCCTTGTTAACCAGTACACTAATACTGGCCGGTCCTAAGCCCAGGTAAAGATGGAAGGTTGGGCATAGGGCTAGCAACCCTACCCCGTAAAACCTATCCAACCGCTACAGAAACTTCAAAGCACAAACAAAATATAAAACATAAAAACAAAATTATTCCTCACTGGAATCGGAGGGGCGAAACGACGCCGGTTGGTGAAAGCCTTCAGGAAGCCAATTGGCCGATGTGTCTTCTATCCCTCGATGAAAGCGAAAGTAAGGATGGGGACATGGAATGTCCGCACTATGTTTGAAGCTGGCTGGCAATGCTGCCCAGATTGCAAACGAGATGAGATGGTACAGCATAGAAGTGCTAGGAATCTGTGAAAGCAGATGGAATGTAAGTGGACTCTCCAAACTGTCAACTGGAGAGTCAATAATCTACTCCGATATTGTCACCCAGACAAAAACCATGAGCACACTGAGTTTTGGAGTGGCTATCATGATGTTCTCAACAGCATCGAAGGCTCTCATACGGTGGGAACCATTCTCCTCAACCATCTGGACCACGACAGCATGCTTAAAATCAAAACGATGGAAAGTCACAATCGTTCAATGCTACACTGCGAACCTGTAAATAATGCAGATGAAGAGAAGAAGGAGGAATTCAATAGACAACTACAATCAACACTGGACAAGACCTCAGTTGGCGATATCAAAATTCTAATAGGCGAAATGAATGCTAAACTGGGAGTGGAAAACGCAGGAAGAGAACAAACTATGCGTTGAGAGTCCCTCGGTGAAATGAACGAGAATGGAGCATTGTTTGCAGAATTCTGTGCATTCAACGATTTGGTGATTGGAGGCACTGTGTTCAAAAACAAGTGCGAGGAACCTTCCAAATGAAGTTGAAAGCCTTCAAAGAAGCTGGTGATAGACCACAGTTCAAGTTCAACACCCAGAACACAAACTGAACTGAAGGACGAAACTACAAGGAACATCTTCACGTCAGCCATCAGAACAAAATGAGAGACATTGACCAACATCCCTGAAGAAACCTGTGTATGAACACTGGAACTCTTTGAAAGAAACTGCATAACCGTATTAGGAAGGAAGACAAGGAATGGATCTCGACGGATACATGAAAGCTGATAGACGAGAGGAAGATGGTGAAGTGGAAGATGAAGCCCTGCAGTGCAGTGCGGTGCAGTGCAGGGATGAACAACGAACAACGAACACAACCTATAAAACACTACACTGGACAAAGAAGTGAAGAAGAGTGCGTGGAGAGACAAAAGACACTTCTACGACACATTGACAAGTGAAGCAGAATAGGCTGCAGGTAGGAGAGATAGAGACCTGACAACACTATATCAAGTAACCAGGTTACTATCTGAGAAGGAAGAGATCAACACACATGAAACCAATAAAAGATGATGAAGGAAATATAATTACGAAAGAAGAGAAACAAAGGAAACGATGGGCTGACCACTTCAGAAAGCTCTTCAATCGACCACCACCTGCAACTCGTCCTCAAATACCACCAGCAGCTCAGCCATAGAACTACCAGTGAACACAGGCCCCTCCCCCCCCCCCCAACAAAAGCAGAAGTCGTGAATGGCATAAAGTTGCTGAAATCCGGCAAGGCAGGAGGAGGAGGAGCAGATGGAATTCCGTCAGAAGCACTGAAAACAGACGCAGAGACAACAGCGACGGACATGCTCACACCACTACTGCAGAAGGTTTGGAAGAAAGGTAGGAAGGGTACTTGCCGGTTGATTGGAAGAAGGGCTACCTTGTCAAACTCCCAAAGAAGGGAGACCTAAGTCTTTGCAAGAACTGGTGAGGAATCATGCTCCTGTCCACCCAGAGCAAGCAAAATATTAAGCTGCATAATCCTGGAGAGACTAAAGGATGAGCCAGATTCAAAATTACGACCGGAACAGGCTGGCTGACTGGCTTCAGGAAGAACAAATCATGTGGGGATCAAATTGTAACGCTACACTACGCATCATCATAGAAGAGAGTATAGAATGGCAGTCAACTCTCTACCTCAACTTCACTGACTTTGAAAAGGCCTTTGACAGCGTCGACGGAGAAGTAATTTGGCAGTTGCTTCAACACTACGGAGTGCCACAAATCTTTATCAACATCATTCAGCAGCTATATGAAGACGCCACATGCCAAGTGATTCACAATGGGAAGCTCAGTGACGCTTTTGAAGTGAAGACAAGCAGGAGTAGGACAAGGCTGCCTACTAGCACCGATGATCTTCCTGGTTGTGGTGAGCTGGATAATACAGCAAACGGTGAGGAGCGAGAAGAGGGCATACGCTGGCTGGACCGATGAAAAGAGCCTAGAAGACTTGGATTTCACCAATGATGCTTTATGTCTAATGTCTTGTCACACAGACTCGAAGATGTGCAGGCAAAAACTAACAAGTTGATAGATAGGTGAGGCAGTGAAGATGGCACGTCAAGTGAACGTAGGGGAGACAGAGGTGATGAAGATACCCAACCAACAACAGCATCAACAACAAGCACCAATCACCATTAACGGGAGAAACCTAAAGGAAGTAGTCTCTTTCACCTACCACCTAGGCAGCATCGTTTCAACTACAGGTGGCGGCAAAGATGAGGATGTCAAAACCAGGCAGGATCGGAAAAGCAAGGCAGGTCTTCCTGCATTAACGTGAAATCAGTGTGGAGATCTACTGCACTGCGCTGCAAAATCAACGTGGAACTTCGCACAATGTGCGTCGGTTGATGATACCACACTTCACAATAGTATAGAAAGATCAGATGGATGGACTAAGAGTGATATCAAGGTAGACAAAGTTGCGTGAGAGAATAGAAAATTTGAAGATAAAGGTCAGTTCGAATATACAGGGTTTAGAAGACGACAAAAAATGAATACATCTGCACCATTGTGACCGATTTTCAGTCTCACGCTCCCAGCAACTTATTCGAAGTCCCGAGGACTTCGACCAAACAGTCTACATCGCTTCGCACAACTCAGACCAACAGTAAGGTACTTCATTGACCGGTGTCAGGTCTTGGTCTGGGCACCCTGAACCCACTTCCAGCCTAATCGAACTTCACTGGGCATGGCATGTCGAGGTAGGCAATAACCCGGCTTGTGTTCAAGGCACCTCAGTCGACTAGGGTTCACAACCTCATCCATCGAATTGTGTATCTTGCCTAGTACTTGTCTCCTAACCTCATCGTTGCTCACAATATTACCAAGATATATGTGATCGAAACCTTGTAACTGCTCCATGTCTTCTACTTTTAACGGCCATTTTGCGTAGCCGCGTAACACGACAGAACAGACTGCAATGCATTATACTTGTCCTTTGGTAGATAGATAGATAGATTTCTCTTTAGTGGGGTCCCAGGGATGACGCTAGTTGACAAATGCCAAACGAGCCTTCTGTATCCGAACTAAGATTTCGTCAGTAACCAACCCGTTTGAGCTGATATGACTCCCCATGTAAGTGAAGTGGTCGACTTATTCCACTACTTCATTCCCTATCATTCAACTGGGGAGCAGACCAGTTGTGAAGCGTCACCTTACATTTATCTCAGGTGCGAGACGCATCCCAAAATGCTCAGATCTTTGTTCAACGTGTTCAGAAGACTCTACATTCTGTCAGCGTTTTCACCTAGCAGGACAACATCGTATGCATGCTCCAAGTCAACCAAGATGACCTCCAAAGAGAAGGTCAATATCTATGAAGTTCGACGTACTCAAATTTATCTTCATTAGTCCTTCTATGGTGAAGTCGAATAGGAATTGTGACATTGGGCACCCCTAGCGGACACTACTGGTTGTAGTCAGTTAGCATGATGATACTCGATAAGCCGTGACACAGCTGCGCCAGTTCGAATATGGAGCTCTGTTTAGCATCATATACTTTCTCTGTACTGCCTTCACAGTCAGACTGCCTCAACACCCTACGTTCGACAGAGTCGGATACCGCCTTCAAGTCAAAAAACATGGCAGGTGTTGGTCGTTAGGTACGCCTGTGTTCTAGAACCTGTTCGAGAATGAAAATGCGGTCAATGCACCATCGTCCTGGTGGTCTGAAACCTGCCTGGTTTTCTCGAGTTTGCTATTCTCCAGCTCCACTTAGACTTCGGCTAACTATGGATCCGAGAATCTTAGACACAATATCAGTCAAACTTATTCCCCTGTCATTGTCACAAAAAGATTTATACCCTTTCCTGAGGACGTGGATGATCAGTGAAGTAGACTACTCTGACGACACTATATCTGGTTCCCATTCACTACCTAGTACCTCCGTCAATTTCCTGCTCTGATCTTTGAAAGCTTCAGTTGGCAAACTGTCACGTCCTATTGCTTTCCATAACAATTTCAATAGCAATTTATATAATCATTTAAAGTAATTCATTACATGAAAGTCAAACTTAAACCAATTATGTTTGTTGTTTACTCTGATTCACTTCTAGGCTGTATCCCGTTTCAAGCTTCTTTTGAGTGGGATAATGCTAATCGGTTGTCCGGTGACCATTTACGGATATGTGAATAACTTACTAAGTTTGTCGTTCATTTATTCATTTCTTGGTTCTGCCATATTTTCTTCATGCACTTTACTTGTTTACAGTTTGATAAGCACAAAAGTTGTTGGAGTTGTAAGTTCGTAATCGTTTAAAATTTCGTAGTTTTTCCATCAATCCAATTGTTTGGGTCTATTTTTGTTTGGTTGCAACATTATCATGGAAATTTACTTACATTAAAACTAGTCATTTATGTAACTGACTGTAGGTTGATCATTTTTTTAATACTGCAATTGAAGCTATCAACGGTTTGTCTAATTTTTGAGTGACTTTAAAGGCCACCTTAGCAGCTGCTGAAATAACCAATCAGATTTCGAAATTTCGTCTGGTAAGGTAGTTTTCATAGAACAGAGAGAAATGATTGGTTATCTCAGTAGTTGTTAGGGTGGCTTTTAAAGTTACTCTAATTTTCGTTTTCTACAAAATTGTTCATCTATATACATTCTGCGAATTGATTTGTCACAATCTTTTTATCATTGAGGCTCAACGGAGTTACTATTTTGATACTGATCAGTTTTATCTTTTTTTATATCCTTGTATATATATATATATATATATATATATATGACCAATATCTTCAGATTTCATCCCTTGGTGGTAATCCAGTTTCTCGACAAATAGAAAGAGTCAGGAATATAACAGGTGTATTGTAACGTCAAATATATATGCAAAATGGCCATGGCTATTTCCAGGCCTTTCTAGAATTGATTTTTTATCTGGTTGGTTCATATGCTTTCTCTCGAAACTTCGGGAAAAAAACGATTGGTTGGAAAAGGGGTTCAGGGGTGTCCGACTTATGAAGATTTTGATAAAGTTATTCTACACTTGTTTGCACGTCTATAAGATAAATCCTGTGAAAAATAACTTTGATGTACACGTTTTGCAACCGTCACCGTATCACTACTCACGAAGGAATTTCTACTTGTATTTTTGGAGAGTGTGGCTTCAAAAAATCACCTAGTTTGTCTGCCTTTGTATTCAACTTAACCTATATGTATTGAAAAGAAAAAAACATTCATGAATGAATCTTTTAGAAGAAGCATCATCTCTTGCTTCATTTATTTATTATTATTAGGTTCCTTGTGACTGGGAAGGCTATTTTAAGTCACAAAGCTTTCCATATACAGTGTATTCCTATTTTTAGCACCCATATATGTTTAGAAATAATTACACCGCATGTATTTAAAATGAAACTAGCCTTATGTTTTAGTGAAACTATACTAGTGTCAAGGTATATGTTCGGAACTGAAATTCACAACTTATACTGTTCTGTAGATAAATAACTTGGTTTCGCCTGCTGCTTTTTTGAGTATGAATTTACTTGTATTGACTCTTACGAATATACTCATGTTATTTAAGCAAAGTAAAAATTAAAATTTTTACAGAAGACGGTGAATTCTTTGTATTTCATTGCCTTCTTTTCAACTGCCCAGAAGCTATAAAAATTATCAGATATGTACGGAGTCCCAGTCACCGTCGGTGTACGTACCACGGTATGTACACGTAAATGGGTAATTGCAATTTGAGATTATATGAGCAGGATAGTGTGGAAGGGTGAGACTCGATTTCACAAGTACACTCTAAATAAGCGAAATCGTCTAAGAAATTCCGTTATTAAACACTTAATGGATACAAGGCTTGACTTTCAGATCTCAAGTTCAGAAACAATCTCCATCAGAGGAATTAAACCGAATTAGTTCATCTAAAAAAGGGAACTGTTAGCCTCCTATTTCCTTCCATGTTAGCTACTGGTTTGTTTTATCATTCAGTATAAGCCCCACGAAAAATGTTTATTAATTTTTTTAAAAATTTCTATCCTCTTTTACAATCGATTTCACACTCAATTCCTATTTCCATCTCCACAACTTTACTTTCTGATCCAAACTGATTTCACCCTAACACTCATGCTAAATTTTTAACCTTCCATTTACATTATTAACTTATGTAATCTTGTCGATTCCATTTTTCGATCGCTCACATGTAGCAAATTAACAATCTGACTATGTAAACGTAGGATAACTTTAATTTTAGTAGAAACGATTTATTTTACTTCGACTTCATTAATCTGTATTAACTTTTTCATTATCTTTCATCAATGGACTATTATCCCCTTGATAACTGAAGTACGAAGATTTTATTTCTCTGTACATATCTCATAATTTTCGTAGTCCGTATGCAGTTGAAAAGAAGGCGATAAAATGCAATGCGTTCATAGTATTCTACAAAGTTTGTTGTTCTCGCTTCGCTAACATTTTTTTTAAAAAGAGCCAATCATAGAAAATACTCATGTTATTTCGAAAGCGTAGTCTACTTTTTAACTACCTATTGAACATTGAAATGCATTCATAAAACATTAATAATTGTGGAGTGACTCCAAAGCCCAACCCAGACAACTATTGAGATAGCCAGTTGCTTTTATATATTTTATAGGAAAACTACCTTCTTAGCCGAAATACCAAGACCTAATTGGTTACTTCAGTAGTTGCTGAGGTGGCCTTTTTAGTCACTCTAATTGTGTAGATTACCCGTTACACTTTGTAAATGATAGGCAATCTAACCTATTTTAATATTCTTTTTATGAACAAGCAGTAAACATAAATCTTGAGCAACATAGTGCACGTTACTTTGAAATTTACAACTGAATCTTTTTCATTTCAGGTGAGTATTCATAAGGAATCTGGCCTTATACGTATTGGATATTTAACGTTTTGGGGAAAACGACGAAATGCAATTCTGAGTGCAGATCAAATTATCCCACCGTCAGATATTAACGATGAACCGGAAAAGAATAAGTCGGTACGTTTTGGAATAGTTCCAAAAGATATCCAATGTTCACAGAGTTCAACTATAAAGCAAACATTCATCCTTACAAAAGTCAAATCAGAAATAATAGACAAAGAGAAGTTTAGACATATTTTTGGATTTACTTGGTAGCTCATAAATACTCTTCATTTACGAAAATTGCTTCTCATATTTTACCTCTAAATTTCCAACAACTAAAAAATAATGACGGAAGATAATAATAATTTTAATTAACGGTGTGTAATAAGAAGTCGTAAAAATGTAATGAAATGCTTGGAGAAAAGGTGAGAAGATAGAAGGTCACCAACTATTAGGACAATTACAATCTGTTATATATCTCCATTTGAAAACACAATCTAGTCTGAACTCGGTGAATAGTGACGGCTCTGGCAATTCAAAGTATAAAGATTGGGCTCGATATAAAATATGTCTCACAGCTGAATACCTCTTGAACAGTCGACTGCTAATTCGTCTGTTGATTCTTGCTGCAACATCCCTTGAAAATCAGAGTAAGTGACACTGGTATCTCTTTCTTCCCCTTACTGTGTGGACATTATTCGTTTAGCTGAAGTTCTTCTGCAGCTTTCGTTGGAAGCATAATACCTTTACTCTTTGATATGACATTCTCAATAAACCTTTCTGGTATCTGATTGGGTAGAAACATCTAAAGTTTAAATACTAACCTCAGTGAAGATTTCTGTCTACTTCACCATCTTCATCTCCTCAAGCATAAGTCAAAAAAGTTAAGCTATCGCATTTCGTTATATTCTGTTGTAAACTAATACTGTGGTGTGCATTGTTGAAATGTTAGAGCAGCTTATTTACCTGTGCAATGCTCTCACAGATAATGAAGATATTGTAATCATATCAGAAGTGTAACATTGTTTTATCGATTGCACGTTTTGCAGTGGTGTTTTCGAATCTTTCGAAGTATATATTAATAATTTTTTGCGAATTGTAACTTCTTTGTTGATAAGAGGATTGTAGCATGAATTATGAACACATGCGATTTCTTGGTGAATATTAATGAACCCATTTTACTGGTTGACATGAGTTTATAAGAATACCTGTAGGTTTTATTTGGAATAGGACTAAAAGGCTTATGTCTGATGTAGCTCGCCGAATAAAGACATCTCTGCGTGAATAGAAATGGTTTATTTTAATACATAAAGTCAATAGTACTGGTAAAGTGTATGGTTCTATTAAAGCTCATAAACCAGTTTATCCCATTTGACCGTTTGTTGACTTTAGGAACACTCCAACATATAAACTGTCTAAGTATCTGTTAAAAATTGCTCAAACTAGACTTACTGGTTCATATAAAATGAAGCAATGTTTAAATGATAGTCAAATCGAAGTGGAATTAGAAATTGATTATCTTTGATGTGACAGGCTTATATACTAATGTACCAATCATTACGGCTCTAGAAGCTGTCAGAAATGTACCTTACATTTACTCTAGCTCACTCACAATTAGGTTAGCGATCCAATGCATCATGTTAGTTCAGTTATGTCTTATCTCTACAGTTTCCAAGTTTCAAGTATAAAATATATCAACAAACCAAAAAAGTAACCATAGGATCACCAATATTTTCAATCTTAGCGGATATTTTTATGAATAGTTGGGAAATTACTGCGCTTAGAACATTTAATCCCACCTCAAAATTATGGAAAGATATATGAATGACACATTTACGGTGTTGAAATATGAACATATCCATAGCTTCTAAGCACACAAACTTGGTGGTAGATCGGATAAAATTTACTTTCGAGTATAATAGATGAACAAGAAGAATTAACTGTCTTAGCTTTTACACTATTACGAAGACAAGTCGGTGCAAGTGTCAACAGAAAACCATCTCATTCTAGTAGATAACTAAACTTTAGATCATCTTACCCTACATCAGTAGGTATAGGTTTAGTTAAATGTTTAAGTAATCCAGCTAGGGGTCTATCCATTAAGTCAAACAATTTGAATAAACAAATGAAACATATAAGAGAAAAGCTTTACTTCTTGATAACTATTCTCCTAAATTTATTCAGAAATACATATGAATGCACAAATAAACGAAAGATAGTGATGGGAACGGTGAATAATTGGAACACTGCTAGGAAGAAATTCAAGGCTGCTTTGGTGTTGCTGTATGAGTTAAGAGCATCAGAAAACTTATGCAGGATTTTCAATAGGGCTGAAATTAACGTGGGATTCAAGCCTATAGATTCACTCAGATACAAACCTTGTCGGTTCAAGGATTGTATTGACCCAATTAAACAGAATAATTTAGTTTCCCAATGGGATTGCAGTGACTACGAATTCAAGTAAATAGGTCAAATTAGCCGAACGGATTCAGTCAGGTTAACAAACATTGAACCCTATTATAGTCTAGACTGATAGACCAGGCCTAAGATGAGTAATCTAAATTAGAATCCAGTTATAGCTGTACATGTGATAATATACAACTATAACACAATAGAGTTGTATGGAGTAACAATCCTAAAGACTAATGTATTTACGATCAGAGAAAGATTGACCACTGAATTGATTCAACGTTTGACAAATGTAATAGGAATGACTCAATATCGATTTCAGATGAATGGAAAATCCTACTACCAACCAAATCAGTAACACTATAACAAGGAGGAAGTTGTGTGATTACCTTGATATAAATGAAAGCAATAAACTGTGCTCAAAACTATGTAACTGTATCCTGTATCAAATAGTTTAATATAGTATGTAAAAGTATGAAGTATATCCGGCGGAATCTCCAAACCATGTTGTTTTCTTCTTCGTTTTCATTTACTTCTAGGACCTACTTTCATATGAAAGTCAAGACTATTTTGAAGTTCATAATGTATGAATCGACTAAATTTAATCTTCTTTCACTTAATCCATTCTTTTTTAAACTACCTGAACTGCACGAACAAGAACCGGTAATCTGTATCTTGTGTGTTTGCAAGTGGAAATATGAGTGTCTGTCACTGACTGTTGCAGGATAAACAAAACGTCTTAGTTATGACTTATAAGACTATTCAGGTCACTGACTGTGTTATTCAAATGTAGAGTAAACGAAACCCAGTTAAGAAATAAGTCAAAGTTGATATGAAGGTGAAGTATTAGTGAGGAACGTAACTTAACCGCTTAACGGGAAACTTTATAGCTAGATTACAAAAATAGTTAAGGATTGATGACCGCTTTGTGAAACTTTTGAATATGACTGGCATTAGCAAAGAGGAATTCAATTCACTGAAACCTATGGAATGTGAATTTCCAAATTTATGCGAACTACCTAAGATTCATGAAACTAACAGTCCTTTACACCCTATATTGTCTATGGGTTGTTCCTCTACACATAAACTGGCGAAAATGTTAAATGCAGTTCGAAATAAATTCTAAGTTTACACTGAAAGGTACTTTTCAACTTGTTGACTGTTCTACTAACAAAAATACCAAAAACAAGACTATGTACTCTTTCTGTGTAAATTCTCTATTCAATAACGTGAAGTTATCGAAGACTATTAACATTCTCTGTGACTACATACCTTCCAGAAACTTCCCATTTCCTATTATTCCAACTTTTCATAGGGAACTTTTATTGGTATGTACCGACAAGGTTGATTTCATATTTGAAGGTGAACACTTTTGACAAGTTGACGGTGTAGCTATAAGAAGTCCCTTAGAACTATTACTAGCTTATATTTATGTCGTATATCAAAAATCTGGCTGGCCATCGTTCCGCTAAAGTTTCGTTTTTCGTGAGATAGGTCGATAACATCATAGTGATTTATGAAAGGGATGAGGATTTGTCTGCTGGAAAGACATAACACCGTACAAACTCATATCAGCCTGACTTGTGGAGAAGAGAATAATAATCATGTACTAGTCTTAGGCGTATTGCTATGTTGACGAGATGGTTGAATAAGACGGTCAGTCTACAGAAAGCCTATATGGACAGTTTTTGTCCAATTCAATATAAGTGGAGTCTAATAAAATGCTTGTTCAATCTATCGTAGCTATAAATCGAATACGATGGATGAAAAGATCAAATTACTGACCAAAACTCTAGTGGAAAATGGATATTTGTTAAAGTTTATAAACCTCCGTAGAAGTCAGGTAGCACCAAAGTCAACTGTATACGCAGTTTCTAAAATGGGTGTTCACATCACTCTACTATACAGAGTGAATAGTATAATTCTGAGACGTAGGCTAACGTCAGCCGTTAGGAAAACCTGTTATACAGCTAAAGTTATTATTTTGGGGGAAAAAACATGTTTCATCACACTGCATAAGTAATTACGTCATATCGCTTTGTGTTTACCAGTTTACATGTATGTGGTCACACATACATAAGGAGAAGTAATCGAGTCATGCATTTGAGGGTGGGAGAACACGTACCTAAATGGCTTCAAAAACAGATGGAGTGTGAAACTTTGATAAGTGGAGGTGAGAGACGACCCTCTTCATGTATAGCTAAATATATCATAGAAACAGGTCATAAAATTAATGTTCAAAGAGCTTTCAAAGTTTTACATAGAGGCAGGGACGTTTACTGAGATTTGCAGAAGCCATAGCCATACACAAATTTAAACCACCTTTATGTGTACAGAAACAGTTTATTCTTGCACTACACCTACCTTGGTAAAAAAATTTTTATGACCAAGATTAGGACCGACTACGTCACTTTCTTTTTGTTCTCATCTTTCTTAATTTTAGTCCCTTGTGTTAATTGTTGTATTTGTTCTCTCACTCTTCGGTTTAATATATATTAACTTGACAAGTAAATGTATGATCAGACTATTCGAAATGTATCGCTCAAATGTAGCACATTGCTTAGATAAATTTCGTCTTCTAATTACACTATCTAAACTTCCTTCTGAAAACAAAGTAAATTTTAAACTTTGCCACTTACATAACATTAACAAAAGTGGAAAATATTAGTCAATTTCATTTACCACATATCTTAAACGGGTTCCAACACGTGACACATCACTGAAAGGCTTGAAGTAAGTAAGACAGTCTTTCATTGATCGCACTTTTGATGTTTATCCTCTCAAAATCTAGTGTAAGAATATCTATAACACATGACCTAAAAACTTTACTCCGTTTAGGTATTCTGCAATATTCAACGTACATT